AAATATATAATTTGTGGAGATTGCGTCTAGGTTTTCCTTGTTCTTCTTTTCTCTCTTCCTTGTTGAGTTCTCTCTCTCTCTCTCTCCCTCCCTCCCTCCAGATTTTTTCTTCTTTTTCTTGAGTCTAAGTTAAGCTCATATATATATATATATCCAAAGTATTTAATTAAATCTAATTAATTCATTCCGAATCGAATTTTTACAAAACTTCTCAATAAGTCCTAAAAATCATGTTGATCACGAAGTCCTTAGTTTAGGTTTCTGGCGCCTCTAAGACCTTCAATTTTCAGTTTAAAGTTGTAATTACAACAGGTTTTTCTACAGTCAACAGATATAAACTCAAATCCTTCTAATTCACATGCCATTTCTTATCAAACACTTAAGTCATTAGCACATAACAATGCAATTAGATGATTATTTAGGCAGATAAATGTCCAGGCCGTTATAGGGATGGGAAATTGTATGGATATAGCATTATTGTTATAAAAAATCTTATATAAAAGAGTGATGATTGAGACCCCCTCCAATCACCACCCCCACAGACACGTAGCGGGTGGTGATTGGAGGAGAAGGAATAACAAAAAAAAGAAAAAGAAAAAGTAGCCAATTAGGTGAAGAAGGGGTCAAGAGATAGGAAAAAAAGGGGATTGTGTTTCTATATAGGAATTGTTCGATGACTTTTTATTGGTCAAAAACTCATTACGAGGGATTCGAGAAGGGGAAAAATTGTGTAGGTGTAACATTACTGTTATAAAAAATCTTGTATGAAAACGTTGAAAGTGATGTCATTGGGGATTGTGTCAAAAATCTTGTATGAAAATCTTGCTTCGGGCTCTCTAGTACCTCTTTCGGTATAGGAATCGTTCGACAAATTTGATTCAATTTCTTTTTTTTTTGTTTGTTTTTTATATTTTTGTTTAATTTTTCAAATTCTATCTCCAATACTTCATCTTTTTAAATTTTTATCAAATTTAAATTTAATGAGTTCTCAATTTGATGAAAAAATAACTCTATCTTTATTTGATAAACATTTGATGAAATGATTGAAAATGATTTTGAATATTTTTTATTAAATTTAAATTTGATAAAAAAAAATATAAAGGATTGTAGATGCTTTAATAGGACCTAAATATTAAAAATATCTAACAATCTAAGGGGGAAAAAACACTAAAATAAAAATAAAATAAAAATCACTTAAAATATAAGAATGAAGTATCTTAAAAAAGTGTAGACTATACCATAATTTGTCTCAGCTAAATATAAAAATGTCAAAGTTCATACTTTTGAGCTGCCCCTATCTTAAAATATATATATGTATACAAAATAAATAAATAAATAAAGCAAACAAACAAACAAACAAACTGGTCGCTTAGTGTGGGTGTTGGTGTTGGTGTGGATGTGGATATGATGTGGATGCAGAGTGCAAAGAAAAGAGTTCTTTGACTTATTTTTTATTTAAAAAAAACTTAGCGATTGTTTGGAATATTTTAAATAAATGTATTTTTTAAATTTTTAGATTAAAAATTTGAGAAAAAAAATGATTATTTAGGTTAATTTTTTTACTTTTTATAAAAAAATGTGTATTAAAAAATTGTATAAATTAATGTGTAGGAAAAAATTAAGATTAAGAGTTGTATAGTCGTACTTTTTAATTTTTGGTGAATAGTGATAATTTTTTAACTTTTTAAATAATTTTTTAACTTTTTAACTTTTTAGACACATGTCAAATTTGACCTTAATCAACCATGTAGTAAATATATTTTATTCCTATGTTGTAAGAATAGTTGTTAATTATTATTTTTATTGTCCTTTCAGAATATCCAGTCATAATTTTGACTGATAAATGACTAACACCATGTTATTAACAAAATTAGAAAAAAATAGTAATTATACGTAACTTATAATTAAAGTATTCAATAAAATAAATATTTAAATTATCAAAACAACCCAACTTCTCAAATCACCCCTAAACTAATCACTTTCCAAACAAGCCCAGTAGATTTTCGCGACCTCAAACAACGTCCTCTTGTCGTGTCGAGCAATCCACCTCCTTCACGCTACAAAAACCCGCCTTTCTATCACCCTCCTCACTCTACTCCATACCCAAGAAATAACAACCTCTCAATCCTCAGTCCTCTCTCTCTCTCTCTCCCCTAATTGTTCACAACCCAGTTCTCAAAAATGGAAATCAATCCCAGGAGCCAACCAAAATTAATCATTCCGCGGAGGCGGCCGGGACAGATCAAGCTCAGAATTCTCGGCATAATCGCCAAATCGGCGCTCTCTGTCGCGGCAAAGGCGCACAAACTCGTAAGAAGAAGAAGAGAAGATGGAGGAGGAGGGCCTCTGAGCTCAACCACCACAACCCCACATGCGACCCCAAGTGGGTACAACTCTGATGACCATTCTGATGGGTGATCTGCGATGCAAAGTGTTGTATAGGTATTAAGTGTGGAACAGGGCTTTTGGACATTTCTGGGTGCCTCTGTTTCAAGTTTTTCTCTGGGTTCTCATGGATTAGATAGATAATTTGTTTAATAGTAATTTTCAGTTTCTTGGTTAGAAGAGGGTGGGATTGGAGATGGGTACCAATTGAATTTGGTATTTTTTTCTTCTAACCCCAACTTGTTCTGCAGTTGATGCTGCGATGCAAAGTGTTGTAATTTGTAAATATTTGTGTTTTTGGTTGTAAAATTGTGTTGATTTTTTGTTAGTTTGTCTAGCTCCTCCTTTGATGATTGTGAATGTATGAGCTTGACACTGACTCTTCCAATGCCCTCCTCTCTCTCTGCTATAAAGTTTCATTTTTTTTTTAATTATATTTTTTAACCTTAAAAAAAGGGGAAAAAAATTAGTATCATCAGTTTTAAAAAATAGAATCAAGTCAGATTCTTTCATAAATATATTTATGATTGTTGTCAACTTATCAATTTTTTTTTATTCCAATTATTTGTTTATTCAGACAAGTTAGTTTGATTCAGAATTTGTCTAAAGACCATTCTAAAGAATAGATAGATTTGTTTAAATTCTGTTCCAATCCCACCTCTAATCCAAACGTTGCCCAAGCCCAAGTCTATTTATATCTCAAAGAGTTTGGGTAATATGGTATTGTTTGAATTCAACACAAATTTCATCTTGGGATGAAAATTGAGTTTTCCTAAACAAAAATGTTAAATGTTTTGAAAATAAAATACAAAAAATATCTAAAATGAAAAAATATGCAACATAATAAGAAAATTGATTTTAAGTGTTATGTCTATTTGCCGAGAATCAATTATATCATAGTATAATCAAATTGTTATAAAGTATTTTCTTCTAGAACTCGACTATGACTTGTGTTACATGAAGTGATTAGCTTGGCCACTAAGCAAGTCCAATTAGGGGTACCTTTCTAATGCGATAATATTATAATAATATTTGTTTAATTCTCTCTCTCAATTCTACAAATGACTGGGTGTGGGTGGGGTGTTTTGTGGATTTATAATTCATATTTATAAATATTTTTAGTCAAAATGGGGGTGATATTTTTTATTATCAATTTTTAATTTATAATAAATAATTTTAAACAAGTCATTGGTTTTGCACGTGGACAATAATAAATAAAAAATAATGTACAAATGTATTTATGATCTCTTTAAATTAACGAATGTTAAATAGGGATTTTTTTAGAAAGATTGTTAAAAATTAATTTTTTGATTTTTTAAACTTTTTTTACTATTTTATATGAGAGGTGTGATGTGACCAAAAATGAATTAAAAGTTAACTTTGACTTTTAATCTATGTTCCCAAAATGAGCTACTGATACAAATGGGAAAGACTATAATCTATTTAAAGAGATCCATCAAACAACATTCATATTCAATATAAATTTTCGTTATATATATATATATTTTTTTTTTGTGAAATTCTTAATGTAGAAATTGTGAAATTTTACAATTTTGAATATATAATCTATGAAATTTCACAATGAATGAGTTTTAAAGCTGTGAAATTTTATTTTGTTTTACCTAATTTCACATTCTATATTAATTTTATTTAATGGATCTTGACGAGTAAATTCCGAGTTATATATATATAAAACATGTACAATAAAAATTAAGGCATTTTAAATTTTGAAACAAAAAATAACTTGACACCATAATAATGCAATAGGCATTGTTGAAAAAGAAAAAATTAACATTTTTTCTTTTTGCTTTTTTCTATAATAAAAAAAAAAACCAAAAATCAAAATTAACAAGATCTCGTGGGCTACCCAAAAAAAAAAAAAAAAAAAAAAAATACACATACAGCAGATTGTGTCAAAAAAAAAAAAAGAAAAAAGAAAAAAAAGGCAATGAGATCTAAGCTACTTTAAAATCATCCAATGGACTTACCCCAATTGTCCTAGATTCTATTAAATACTTCTTGTTAAAAATCTTTTACAATATTGACATATATTTCCATACCAAGAAGAAAACTCAGACACATATTCTCCTCCCCAAATTATTGCCACAGGTTTGAAAATTTGTAAGTATTGGACAAGAGTGGTTGGGTTGTTGATTCATGTAGTATTAGAAACAGGAGTGGATAAATAGATAAATGGATATACATGAGCAGACAGACAAGTCACAAAAGGCATACAATCAAGAATATACCTTTTTTGTCCTTTACCCAATAAAAAGGAATTAGGGGGCAATACCGTCATTTCGCATAATGCAACTGTTATAACGGCCATTAACGATTTTCGACAAACCACGTACGCAGCAAGTAACGTCTTCGTTGACGGCGTCCGGCGTCGCTTCCTAGGGTTTCCAAAACGAGCCACGTGGCTACCGATAGATTCGGCGCACCATGTCTAGGCTTCGGGCTTTAGATTTTGTACAGCTCAGACAATCCGATGGCTATTATTAATCCACGTCAGACTAGCCCATCATCCAGCGTGGATTCGGAGACTCTCTGGACCTCCATTTGTTCCACGTCATCCACTCCCCAAAAAAATCTTCTCCCCCCAACCCCACTTCTTCCTCTTCTCTCTCTACTCTGTCTCTCTCTCTAACCAGTCAAGCTTTGTTATTGTGCAGCATTTTGAGTAGCGTTTGGGACTTTGAAGACTTTGTGTATCGATTTCAATAGCTATGGTTCGAAGTTGTTGGTTTGGAGGTGTTTGGTTCTGATCTGTTGTTTGTCATGTTCAATCGTTCTCAACAATGGTGGATTGGATTTCATCGATTGAGCTATGATGGTATATTTTTCCCCCAATTCAGTTCTTTCAAAATTATATGTGCTACTATGTGTTTTGTATTATATACATGTAGTAGTTTATTCTCTCTCCACTAAGAAAAGATTGATAAAATTTAGAGATTAGATTTCTTAGATCTTGTCCAATCGCTAGTCTTTTTTTCTTTTTTTCCCATCAAATTTGAGTGAGAATTTGGTTAAAAGTTTGATCTGATATGGAATCCTCCAAACCTTAATCAAATATTTTTTAAAAATTCCAAACTTTTCCTGAATACCTGTTTTAACAATTTTTGATGGGGAAAAAAAATCTCCACCTGTTGCTGTTACTCTTTTTAAAATTTCATCAAATTTGAGTAAAAGAGTTGCAAATTTGGTGAAGGATTTTGTCCGTCCTTGACTTTGTCTATTGCAAAAGAGTTGAATCTGGTTTGAGTATCTGTAGGGTTTGGATCAGAGTTGATTTTCTCAAATCTGTTTTGCTTAGACAGGGGATTTGTGGATTTTTTTAATTTATTTATATTTTTTCGTGTGGATTGTGTTTTGATGTGAGTGTTATATACCTATTCTTGATCTCTTATTTGACATACTTATGGGGTTTAACCTTTCTGAAGCTTATCGACTCTGACCTTTAGTTCGGAAGACAAACAAGATGTTTGAGCCTTGTTGTAATTTAAACAAGGGTTTTGTACCTGAATTTTGTGCATTTATCATCATCGGTCTTTTAAAATCTGATTGATGGGGGCTGCTCCAATGAAGAATGATAGTGACAGGGACACTGGTTTCGCTGAAGAAAATAATGATGCGTGGGAGCAAAAGAGAGTTAAACATATTGTTGTGGCCGAAGAGCAAGGTTTAGGCTCATCCAAGGAAGAAAAACCTAAGATTAATGAGTCAGGCGGAGAAATAAATAATGGATCAGTAGGGACAATGCAGGTCTATTCTGGTCCACCAAAACTTCAATCGCAGGGGCCTGTGGTACACTGGGAGAGGTTTCTGCCTACTGGGTCGCTAAAGGTCCTACTGGTGGAAAATGATGATTCTACACGTCATGTTGTTAGCGCTTTGCTTCGGAACTGCAGTTATGAAGGTTAGTGATTCATGGTTTATTGGCACACAATAATTTGGTATATCCATAATTAGCGACATTAATACATTTACTTTGATGAGTGATAGTAGAAACTTTGCATAATGCCTCATTATTCCCATTATTTGTATTAAGATTCTGGTTTTACCTTTCATATGAATTTATTTGATTTTAAACAAACTGATATTTCATCTTTGAGTTGATTGCATTCCTATGTCTCTCCACTGGGGAGAACAGCGTTTAAGTCCCTTTGGGCACATGGAGGGTAGGTGGGGAGTCCTGCTTTATGGACTGGGCTTTTGGTTTCTAATATAAAGCATATGAACTCACCTTTCCCTGTTTCCACTCCCCCTCCCCCTCCCCCTCCCAAAAAATAAAAGAGGGAAAAACTTATATTGTAATTTCACATCAGTTTTCAATATAATGTGCCGTGTCAATTAAGCATACATATGCCATAGACAATCAATTAATCATTCACCATGGTTTATGTTTGCATAACATGATATGTCCACCATCAATTGGTACAAATATCAACTGCATACCGTACCCAAGATCGGGAATATAGAGAGAAATAATAGCTAAAGTATCAAAATTATTAAATTTGATATATGGTCACAAGTGCATAAGTGATGTATGGTCATAAGTGTAACATCAAAGCTTAGACCTTTTATGTAACATCAAAGCTTATTCAACAGGAATTGAGTTATAGTGATGTATGGTCATAGGTTCAGTTGATTTCTGTTTTCAGAAATAATTTGAAATTTGTTGTAGTGGTGCATGAGCTTGTTCTCTACATAACTTGGTATTACCTTTTTCATCATCTAAAAGCTTTTAACTGCAATATAGAAACATCAAGCAAGTGAGCTGCCTTAGAATGCTCTTTCTGGCCTGTGCAATACATAAAAGTAATGTTGTTGTGATTGCACTATGTAGGTTGACTGCGTATGGTATATAACTCTAATTCTTACCACTGTTTTCCCCTTCTTGCCCTCCTAATCTTGAATTGGTCATTACAGTTACTGCAGTTGCAAATGGTCTTCAAGCATGGAAAATCTTGGAGGATTTTAGTAATCATATTGATCTTGTCCTTACTGAGGTAGTCATGCCTTTTATATCAGGGATTGGTCTTTTATGCAAGATTATGAACCACAAAACTTTCAAGAATATTCCTGTGATTAGTGAGTATCAATTTTGGTGTTTCTATAAAGGTTTCCTTTAAATTGTAATGTTTATTTTCTGTTATTCTTTCTGATGTGTTGCTTTTAACTACCACATCTGACGAGCTTTGTGTGCAGTGATGTCATCTCATGATTCTATGGGTTTAGTCTTTAAGTGTTTGTCAAAGGGCGCAGTTGACTTCCTAGTGAAACCTATTCGGAAGAATGAGCTTAAAAACCTTTGGCAGCATGTATGGAGGAGGTGCCATAGTGTGAGTTGGCCATACCTTTCCACTTACATGTGCTTGTATGTTGTGAACAAAATGTAGATACTTACGTCAGGTCAATTCTATTATTAATGTTGGGAAATGCTTGCGGGCATCCTTTGCTAAACCAGCCTTCTTTGATATTTTACCTAGTTTTACCGAAAATTTGTCTCTTCTGATTGACCTGTTTAGCCATTTTCTCAACTATGGGGGGATAAATGTAGTCATTCCCTTCTTGACCTTGGATTAATTTCTAATCATTTCTCAGTCTAGTGGCAGTGGGAGTGAAAGCGGTACACAGACTAAAAAATCTGTAAAGTCAAAAAGCAACTATGAGTCTGAAAACAATACTGGCAGCAGTGATGAGCGTGATAATGCAAGTGTTGGTCTGAGTATTCGTGATGGAAGTGACAATGGAAGTGGCACTCAGGTAAAGATAAATGGATTCCATGTAAATAACATAACTATATCTTGATTGATTTATGCCTTCTAGTTAACATTTTACATAGTGAAATTATTGGTTGTTCAATTATAAGGTTGCTTCAGCGTACTTGTCATGAATGTTCGCTCATGTCTGCAATTCTTAAACAAGGTTGTTAAAATCGGGATCCTAAGTAGGATCGGTGAGAGGGTTTGGTGGATCGGATCGAGGATCGTAAGATCCTACTTTCTGTTAAAAAAAAAAGATAAAAATTAAAATTAAAATGATACATATTAAAAATAAGGTAAAAAATCATAAAATCTACGATCCTACATGCGATCCTACCTACGATCCTATACGATCCCATACGATCCCATGCGATCCTACACGATCCTACTTGCGATCCTGTTATAACATCGATCCTACAACGATTTGGATCGTTTTGGCAAAGTAGGATCGTAGGATCGTACAATCCTACAATCCGGATCGCGATTTTAACAACCATGTTCTTAAAGCAATACTTACACTTTGATAGCATTGAACTTTGTAGTTTTGGATTCAAGTGTGCATAAAATGGTATCACTCGCAAATAGGTGTACTAACGAACTTTAATATAAAGTAATATAGAACATTCTGGAGAGCTAATGTACTGTTCTGTGATTAATAAATCTGGAATGGAATTTCCTTTCAAATCCACAATCTTTGAATTGATACTTGAAAAATTGAAAACAGGAAGTGGAATGCTAAAATGTAAACATTTGGTGGGCTGTTCTGATTCTGACTTCACTCTCATCAGTTGTAATTACTTAAAAGGCATGTTTAGGTGTACAATACTTTTTTTTATTTGTATTAATATCCATAAATTATCCGTAACAGTTGGCCGAACTATATTATTTTTAGTACTCTATTTTTCCACAACACACCATTACTTGATTTTAAGAAGCAAAAGTTTTTCTTAACACATCTCCTGTTTCTAGGAAATTTCAGTTCTTATGATTTCTTAAATAACTGTCTTAGTTTTTTTATTTATTTAAATCATTTCGATTATGTCTGAGTTAAATCTGCATCCTTTTCTACTATGTTGTTGAAATTTCCGTCAAGAATTATACGGACAAGGATTTGGTAGAGATATGCTCTCGCACTTGTTTCTTTTGGTTTTTTATTTTCATTTCTTTATGGGTTAATATTTGTTAGGTAACCCACTTTTCAAACTCATCACATCACAAACATTTTTTTTTGTGATTTGGATCTACTTTCCAAACTTCACAATGGTAAATGTCGTTTATCATCTCTCTATGGCATTCCCATCAATTGGATGACTTAGAAACGTGTTCAACTTGCGAAGGACTTGATCTACAGTAGTTATACTGCTCAACTTGCAAAGTATTAAGACAAGTATTAAAAATGTGTTGAACTTGTGAAGGACTTGATTTACATGTTGACTTTCTTTCCATGCAGAGTTCTTGGACAAAAAAGGCTGCTGTAGTTGATAGCCCCCGCCCAGTATCGCCAATTAATCCATTGGCTGATGCTCCTGATAGTACTTGTGCTCAGGTCATTCATACAAGGCCTGAGGCATCTAGCAGTAGGTGGGTTCATGTTACTGAAATAAAGAAGTGCCAAGAACAGGATGATCAACTTGGTGAGCCTTCGAATCAGTTGAATTGTGGCTTGTACGTAGTGCTTGTATTTTGTCTTTGACCATTCTAACGCTGCCTGTGTGTTTCACATTTCAGATATAGCAATGGGAAAAGACTTGGAAATAGGCATGTCAAGAGATCCAGACTCACAACTTGATTTTCTGCCCAAGTTTTCAATCAAGCCAAGCAGCAAAAGGCAGAACCAACTGTTTGAACCAGATCGCTTGCAAGTTGAGAAAGAAAATCAGGAGCTCAAAAGTGAGAATATAGGTGGAAAACTGAGGGACCATGCCGCAAAATTAAGTAGTGCTGTTGCTTGTCCTGCTGATCCACAGGCAGATAGCAGAGCCCTTGAGACTCCTAGTGGGCTTTCAGACATATCACTAATCAAAGATAAAGCTAGCTGTGATTTCAAAGAATCTCCATCTCTTGAGCTGAGTTTAAAAAGGTTGAGAGGGGTGGGAGATGTTGGAACCAACGTGCATGGTGACCGGAATGTTTTGAGACATTCAGACCTGTCAGCATTTTCAAAGTAAGGGAAAAACTTGTGTAAGTCAAAATTTTGATGTCAAGTGTTGCATACATATCAAATGAACTCAAGAATTCCATTTTCCTTTTGCAGGTACAACACTGCCTTTTCTACTAATCAGGTACTCTCTTGCACCTCAGGTAGCAGGTAATGTAATATAATGTTGGGTTGCAACTCCTCTGCAATTTGTGCAATTGCCAGGTTGTTTCCATTAATTGTAGGCAACATCAAAATATGGAGTGGCATTGTTATTCTAACAGAAAACTAAAAGTGGTTAACAAGGGAGCTTCTATTTGCACACCACTCCTCTCAGTAGACACCATTTTCTGAACTTTTTTTTATAATTACGATTGTGTCCCTTGGGCAAATGATCAGACAAAATATACACACCTTCTCTCCAGCCATCTCCACCACCGGCCGCCATCCTTTGCCGCTTTGCATCTCCGTCCACCACCACGACACCACCACCAGCCCACCAGTGTGAATCCATCTCCCACCACCGATGATTCCCTCTCACCAGCCACCATCGCAGCCATACTAATCCATCTATCGAAATCCGACGAACTCATAAATTTATTTAACTAAAACAACTCAAATTTGCAGTTAAAAATACCAGATAATTAAGCAAATGAAGTGAATGAAGAGTGAGAAAAGAAAGCAATGGCCCCAAAGAGAGAGAGAGTTTGAGGTTTCTAGATCTAGGGATTGAAGGAGGAGAAGGAAGAAGAAGATTAAGGGGGAGGAGGCAGGGGGTGGCAGTGGAGGGGTCTGTGAGAGTAGGGATGGGGTAGAAGAGGCAAGGCAAGGCGCGCAGGGGGGGGTTGTTGGTGGGGTGGCCGTTGGGGAGGGGCACAGCGGTGGAAGATGTAGCGGTAGTGGGTGGCTGATTTTAGGGTTAGAATTTGAAGATTGGTGTGAACTGAGTGAAATTCACAAAATCAAAATGTGTGGTGGTGCGAACTGAGTAATGGTGTGTATTTGAGACAACTTGTGGTGTGCAAATAGAAGCTCCTGGTTAACAATTGAAGCAATCCTCTATTTTGTCCAGATGGAAGGAGCATCCTTCCATATCTTGATGTGGCTTGCATTGATTGGTGACAATAATAACAGTGTTTGGATGATAGTCATTGTAGAGGAGCCAGACCCCTTTTGTTGTGCAGGTGTAATACTATCTCCACTGTCTATCAGGTTCCCACAGGGAATGTAGGAAGCTCTTCTCCGTTAGATAACAGCTCAGTGGCAATGAAGACTGAAGCAATGCACAGTTCAAATTGCACTCCTAATCAGCAGTCTAATGGAAGTAGCAACAACAATGATATGTCCTCTGCCACTAAATCTAAATATGTCCTGAAGCCAGAAGGTTTAAGTGACAAATCAGAGTCCATATCAGCATTCAAGTGTTTCCACACATCTGCATTACAACCTGTGCCGAATGGCCGTGTTTGTACTGCTCAGCAAGTTATACCTGAGAAGGTAGATGACGTGGCAGTCAGCACAAACGAAGCACAAGCAAGAGGCTCAAACCAGCAAGTCCAAGTCCAGCATCACCATCACCACTACCACCATTACCACCACCATGTCCACAATATGCAGCATCAGGCACATGAGGACCATGATAATCCCTCGATGAAGAACGTGGCAGCTGCTGCTCCTCAATGTGCATCAACAAATAATTTTGGAGGGATTGTTGATGGTAGTGGTGGAGATTACAGTGTGAATGGGAGCGCTTCAGGAAGTAACCATGGGAGCAATGGGCAGAATGGAAGCAGCAGTGCCTTAAATGCTGGAGTGACAAACATGGAAAGTGACAATGGAGCAGCTGAAAAAAGTGGAGTTGTTGGCATTAGCGGGAGGGTTGCTGGGAATGGAGCTGATGAAGACCGATTTGCACAGAGAGAGGCTGCCTTGACCAAATTCCGTCAGAAACGGAAAGAAAGATGCTTTGACAAAAAGGTAACCTGCTTTTAGTTGTGTTTTTGCTAAGGATGAACAACAGAACCAAAATATATACTTTGTTTTCATTGCTTTCGGCCTTTACAGATCAAAAAGATTGGTGCTGAAATTTTCGGGCATAGGGTAAAAACCGTACAATAGAATGGTGTAGAATCTATTTGGGACAAAAGATGCCAAAAAATTATTAGATGCATTAATGTAAATCACATTTGAGAACTAAATGCATGTCCATTATGATAAATCTAACCCAATCTTGCCCTCTCATGCCATATATTACACAGAATGGCTTACACTACTATGGTATTACCATATGATACTGAAAGTGACAAGAAAAATTACCCAGTACTTACTTTGTCTCAATTAGTCATTATTCGCAAGTTGATAGCAAAGCATATTATAAAGTTGCTTTGACATTTATGACAAGATGTCTTTGACTCATTTTGCTCCTTTTTTGTAATCCGTTAGTTAACTACAAATTGTTTTGTATACATTTGAAATTAACCTTTGTCTGGCCTGCCATGTGAAAGGTTTTCTTTTCTGCTGTTATTAAAACCAATAATGTGATTGGGCTGAACTCAGGGGGATGCCTGTTTGGTGCAGCTTTGCTCTCAAGTTGAAAGTTGATAATAAAAAAGCAGAAGCTAAAAACACCAATTTCCCAGTTTCCAGATAATCATATTTTTTTCAATTTATGACAATTATTTCTGCTTCATAAATTATATGCAAAAACTACACCTCATAAATTGTAAATAAAAGCTGCATCAAATTCTGACACAGATTAAAAAAAAAAAAAAAAAAACTATAAGCAGCACCAAACAGGTCTTAGGCTGATGATATTTATAAAGTTTTCCACTGCATGCTTAGTTCTACTTGTTCAGTGACAGAATGAATTCAGGAGGTTTTGGCCTACTAATGTTTTTAAACAACATTTGACCTTAATCCATGTCCGCTCGATGCTCCCATCCCATCCCATCCCATCTTTGTTGCTTCTGTGAACAATTGTATTAATCATGTGCACTTGATCTTCCCATTGTTCATTCTACCAACAATTTTATTAACCATGTCTACTTGATGTCCCATCCTTGTTCCTTCTATGAACATTTTTATCATGGAAAAGTTCTACAGAACTGTCTTCCCGCTGTTTTTGTTTCTCAGGTCCGATACCAGAGTAGGAAAAGGCTGGCAGAACAAAGGCCTCGTATACGGGGACAGTTTGTGCGACAGATAGCGTATGATATCCAAGCTGCAATGCATATGCATCCCTCTTTTGTATTTATATATATACGTTTAGAACTCAATAGAACTAGCTCTTACTTTTGTCATGTTTTTCAGGTCCGATACAAAAGCTGGTAAAGATAGGCAAGACAACATCATGACCGAAGAGAATTCTAGTGATAGCATTCAATAACACAATCTGCGATTTGGTTCATGAATACCACCCAAGTGCCTGACAATGTTTTGTGGATGTTTGTACATCAATTAGCACTGGCTGTGTATTATGTGTATGGAGGTGTATTTTTAAGTGATTGAAAAGAAAACACTTCAAATGTTTTACTTTTATCAGACAGTTACAACTTTACCACTGTTTAACTTTTTGTGACTCCAAGGTGGCCGGTTACTCTTGAAGACAACCTCTCTCATGTAACAAGAACTGCTCATGTTAGTAGTCCTGTTTTCTGTACTTTTATTGTTCGACAGTTTTCATGTTAAAAGAATCTCTTCTTTTTTGTTTGGCTCCCATTTCTTTCCATTTGGTGTACATTTTTGAGTTGTGTTATTTTTCGTTGCGCCATACCTCTGTTTCGATGTCAGCACACGGATGGGTCGTCTCTGTTTAGTCAAGCAGAGGGTAACCCACAAGAATGAGAAAATTGAGGACCTCCTTTGTTGTTGGTTATATCTGTGTGTGTATTGCGTGCTGTTTTATTTTCTTGAGAAATAGTATAGTTGGTTCTCATTGTCTGAAGCTGTTCAAACCTTGTAAAGGTTATTGTGGACTTTGCCTCTCAATACTTCACCTCTGAAAATCCAAGAAAGCTTTTCTGAAGTGGCTAGTTTGCTTTGGCTTTGACATGGGCTGTGATCAAAGCTGAGGGTTGCAATTTAGCTGAGTGATAGATTGTTCAAAACATGTTCAAGCTTGACTAGTTGATATAACTAGTCAATCTTGAATAAGTTTTTAATGAGTCAAACACTAATTAGTATGGATATGCCACACATCTGCACAATAACTCCAATGAAGTCAATGGATGAGAGATATAATGAGGTAAGGGATATATTGAAGGTCCCAAAAAATTCCTATTTACCGAATTTTCATCATATGTCATCTATGGATATGCTATTTCTGGAATTGTAGAGGTGCGGGTAACAATACGGTCAAAAGAACTTTGAAAGAGTTGTTAAGGGCTCATAAGCCAGAAATCTTGGTAATTATGGAAACTGAGGTTGAGTTAAATTCCATGGGCATGTTTTTTAGTAGATTGGGGTTTACGGCCTCAGCCCATATTGATCCTATTGGAAGAAGTGAAGGCATTTGGATGTTGTGGAACCTGTCTTAGGCTAATGTGCAAGTGCCGGAGGCAAATTCTCAGGTCATTACTATCGTTTCGAGACAAAACTACCCTGATTGGTTACTTTAAGCTATTTATGCAAGTCCAAATGCGAGGAAAAGAGAGGAACTGTGGTAGAATCTGGAAAACACAGCCCATCAGAATAATGACTTGTGGCTTGTTACGGGATAGTTCTCAAGCGAAAAGGAGAGCAATTTCTGGAACTTCACTAAACAACATTAACCAAAACCAAAGTAGGTGCCAAAAATTTGTGAAAAAAATGAATAGCTGCAACTTGATGGTGTGTGGGTCCTAGATTGACTTGGACTAACAACAGACAGGGATGGGCAAATACTATGGTTCTCTTGGATAGAGCTATGTGCAATATTGAATGGTGCACCCTGTTTCTGGATGGCTGCCTTCGCAATCTACCACGCACTTATTTCGACCATTCACCATTGATGTATTCATCTAAGGTATGCACCATTTTAATTCTCTTGTAAAACCTTTTAGATTTGAAGCTGCGTGGATCTCCTATAAGGAGTTTCACGATGTTATGATTGATAATTGAAAGCACCCATATTGATCCTTGGATGCTAATCTAAAAAGGATGGCTGATAGAGCTATGGTGTGGAATACTAGATCTAATTGGATCACTCAAGGTGATAGAAATACAAAAAAATTTCATGTGTCTACTGTTATTAAAAGGAGGGTATTAAAAATTGAGATGCTCAAATCTGACAATGGTGAGTGGGTGGACCAAATTCATAATCTAAAATTTTTAGTCCAAAATTTTTTCATTAATTTGTTTAAGGCCACTCTTACTATTAGACTTGATCACTAGAATGGGTTAATTGCTTGTAAGCTTACAGATGAAAATAATGAAGAGGTTTGCAGAAGGGTTACCAATGAGGAGATTTGAAGGGCTGTTAAGAATATTAAAGCGTTCAAAGCCCCTGGTAATGATGGTTTTTAAGCAATTTTTTTACCATACTTACTCGGACATTGTTGGCCCTTCGATATGTGAGTTAGTTAAGAATTGTTTTCGTACCAATTCTGTCCCTAGAGAGATGAACAAGACCTTGATTTCCCTTATTCGTAAGGTTGATAATCCTGAAAGCATTAAACAATTTCGGCCTATAAGTCTTTGTCATGTTACTTACAAAATTATTACTAAAATTATTGTAAGTCGTATTAGACCTTTTTTGACCAACATTGTCCGATTCAACCAAAGTAGTTTTATCCCTGGACACACAACTAGTGATAACATCATTATCACCCAGGAAATTATTCACACTTTGATGGGTAAGAAGAAGAAAAAAAGGGAATTTGATTTTAAAAATTGTCCTTAAGAAAGCTTATGACAATATTTCATGGGATTTTTTTGCAACTAACTCTTCAAGAATTTAATTTTGATCCCAATCTCATTATGCTTATTATGAGTTATGTTACCACTGTACAATATGTTATCTTGTGGAATAGTGAGGCTCTGGAGGATTTCACTCCAGGGAAGGGTTTGAGGTAAGGACACCCTTTGTCTCGTTATCTTTTTGTTCTTTGGTTGCCACTAAAAATTGGAAAGGCATTTCAATCGGAAAAGGAGGCCCGTGTATTACTCACTTGTTTTTTGCTGATGATTTGCCTTTTTTTGCTTCGGCAAACCCCACAAGTTGTGAGAATATCATGGAAACTCTTAATGAGTTTAGTGATATTTCTAGCCTAAAAATTAAAACTCACAAGTCCAAAATGTTTCTCTCCAAATGTGAACTGTAGCTATGCCCGAAACCTTAGTTGCGTGGTATTCCTTTAACCATGGATATGGAAAAGTACCTTGGGGTACCTCTTCTTCATGGCAGAGTTAGCTGCAATCATTTTAGCTCCATTTTGGAGAGAATGCAAAAAAGACTCGCGGGATGGAAAATTAGTACTTTATACTTGGCTAGGAGAGCCACTCTCATCTAATCAGTTACTTCGGCCATTCCGGCTTACACTATGCAAACCATGAAAATTCCTATAAGGGTGTGTGATAATATTGATGGCGTGAACAGGAACTTCCTTTGGGGTGGAAAGGACGAAAATTCATCTTATCAAATGGGATAAGGTTTGCAGGAAAAAGGAGAATGGTGGGCTTGGTATCCTGAAAGCTAGAGATAATAACTTAGCTCTTCTTACCAAACTTGGTTGGAAAATTCTATGTGATGAAGGAGGTTTGTGGATAGATGTCTTGAAAGCTAAGTATTTGAAGTATTATACACAATTGGCCTAGGAAAAGGAAAGCCTCTCATGTTTGGAGAGGAATCCTAAATACTAGAAATATGTTGAGTAAAGGGGTGAAGTAGACCATCAGAGATGGTACTAAAGTGAGGATTTGGAAAGATTGGTGGTGTAGGGATAAGTCCTTGGAGGAGGCTATTCTTAACCATGAATTATCAAATTTTACCACTGTTAATTCGCTTTTGAATGAGGATAAAGAGTGGGATGAGAATATGATTAAGGACCAAATATCAGAGGAAGTAATTCCTGACATATTGCGCATTCATCCTCTGTAGTTTGTGAATCTCATTGATAAACCTTGTTGGAAGGGATCCTAAGACGGGGGTTTCTCTTCTGCTGCAACCTATGATATTATTGTGGAAAAATATCAACATGTGTGCGACTGAAAGTGGTTGTGGAAATTGCGAATTCCACAAAAACGTAAAGGTTTTCTTTAGGTGGTGCTTAATGAGAAACTCCTTACCGATGATAGGCGTTTGAGGAAGGGCCTTATGAATGATTCGAGTTGTATTAGTTGCAACAATATGGAAGACACAAACCATGTGTTGAGAACTTGTCCTCAAGCAGGGGAGTTGTGGTCCTCTGTTTTTAATACACACTGGTATGTGAGAATGCTAAATATGCCATTGATGGATTGGATTACAATGAATGCTAAAAACAAAACTCCTTTTAACAGTTGCATTTTATAAATGATTGTTTTTATTATTTCTCTTTGGCAAGTCTGGATCAACAGAAACAAAAAGATTTTCAAAAATAAAAATTGCAATTTGTTCGAAAGTGTGAAATTTATTTTTGAATTTTCTTTAGAAATACATCGGGCTTTTAGTAGATCTATTGTTACACCTAAACAATCCTTTGTACTAATTCAGTGGATTCCTCCTATTGCAGGTTCAATTAAGTTGAATTCAGAGGGATGCTTGCCAGTGAGATTAGGAACTGGAGGCTTCGGAGGTCTTTTTCGCAATGAAAAAGGAGCCTGGATCAGTGGCTATTATGGTATACTCGGAAGTTGCACAAGTCTCAAAGCAGAATTGTGGGCAGTTTACAAGGGACTTACCATACTACTTCAGAGGCGATTTACAAAAATTATCGTCGAAACAAATGCGGAGCAAGTAGTCCAATTGCTGAAGGAATGCCCAGGCGATAACTTCCCCTTTCAAGGACTAATCATTATGAGAGGATGCGAATGCGAAGTTAATCATGCCATATGAGAAGGAAATATTTGTGCTAATGCGTTGGTGAAGTTCGGGGTGAAACAACCTGAAGATTTACTAGTAGTTAACGAGCCTTCGGATGAGATTTGCAGCCTCTTGGTCGCAGACATGCTTGGTGTTGGAAGGGTGAGGGAGTAGCCCGCCTTCCCTGTTTTTTTCTTTCCGTTGTATCGGAAAAAAAAACACTAATCAAATTTTAGTAGGTTATTTGGCTTTTTGGCTATTTTAGTAGGTTATTTTAGTTTTGTGTTTGGGAAGTTGAGTTAAATTTTTAGGTTGATTGTTGTATTGAAAAATGTGTTTGAAATGATGTTTAAATTAAAATTACAAATTTACCCTTCACTTTATTTTTTTAAAAAATTGAGGAATAGGGGTAATAATGTAATTTAGCAAACCTGCAGCCTACACTGTTGGTGGCAGTGTAGGCTGCACTGCTGCAGCAGCCGACCAACAGTCAATTTTTTTTTTTTTTTTTGGAAAATTAAGAAAAAGTTTGCTACAGTTAGGTTTTTGGGCTGATTTTCAGTTTTAGGCTATAATAGCCTAAATCTCAGGTTGCCGAACAGCGCCATTGAATAGTTTGATTTTTTATAATATATATGTGCTGATCATGCCATGCAGACAATTGTTTAAATTTAATTTCAAAACTTAACAAGATTTGCAATGTGTTTAAACTTAATTTGTTTACATATATGCCTGTGTT